GAGACTTAAATCCTATAACTCTACATAACGCATCAAGACTTTCCTCCGTCGGTTCCATGAGTAACAACACCAGCATGCAGTTCCCTCTCTCAGTAAGAGGTTAATAAAAATAAAAATAAAAATAAAAATAAAAATAAAAATAAAAATAAAAATAAAAATAAAAATAAAAATAAAAATAAAAATAAAAATAAATCAGCGTTTTTCTTAAGGCGTTACATCAGATGATGCATGCTCTTAGTAAATATTGCTGCAATGTTCACCTGTGTTGCATTCTAACGCAGACACAGAGACACACACAGGACGGGAGGGAGTGGGGGTGGGAAGAAGGGCGGAGAGAGGTTATAGAGACTGCAGAATACGCTGAGCCTGCTGCTCGCAGCTTCCTGCACAGACAGGCAGAGGAGAACGCCTCGCAAGACCGTCCTGCTGTAAATACCTGTGACTCACGATAGGCGCGGAGCCCGACAGAGCCGCCGCGTAAAAATACATAAACCCACCCGCCCTCTCCCCGCAAAGCAACTAACCAACCGAAAAAAAACACCCTGATAGACACACAACGACGGGGCAAATTGTCAGTGTAATTCCACATGGACTCATTGCTCAGCACAGCCCCCCTCCCGGCTCCCAAGGCAAGGCCGCTCTTCCCGCCGCGGTATCTCTCCTCACCAGCGGGGGCTGCCCTGAGAGGGGGGCAGCAGAGCTCCCTGGGCTCGGAAGGGCTGCTTCCCGTCCCCGGGGACAGCGTCCTCCCCGCCGGCCTCTGGATGTCCGGGCGGTGTGCGCTGCAGGGGAGGAGGAGGAAGGCGGCGGCGGCGGGCGGATCCCCGCACCAGGGCGGCGGAGGCGGCGATGCTGGAGGAGAGACCAGACCCGGTCCCGGCGCCGGCCGCTGGTGGCTCATGCATATCAATAGCCATGTGTACTCGAGGTTTCTTATGACATCATCATTACCTTGGTCTCTCGCGGTCCAGGACTTCTGAGCTTGCCGGGCTGGCGCGCATTTTGGCACTGAAAGCCCTCCAATGATGGCCCTTTTCTCCTTCTTTCAGACCGGGGGCTGCAGCAGCCGGCAAGACCGCCGTCTTCTCCCCAGCTCGAGAACCTCCCCCCTCTAAAACAC